TGCAACAAGCTGCCCCTGCAGGTTTTACGTGCTTTTGTTCATATCATAAGTCCATTGAATGTCCACAGAGAAATGGGTTATTGTCCAAACCAACTTAACCACTTGGTATGGAATCAGGCAGTATGCCCTGGTTTGATTATTCACAGCAATAAGATTTACAGATTTATTTGTGCACTAAAGTCCAGATAGCAGCATGTAGGTGTGTGTAGTTTGGTCATGGGCTGGTGTAATTGTGCCCCCAGTAATATGTACATTTCCAGCAAAACACCCTTGCCATAGGCCATTGATACTGCTCCTCCATAGTCATAGGAGAGGGGCACATCCAAACATCTTCTCTGTATAAACACCATTTCACACACCCCGCCATTGATTCCCAGTGAGCTCCTCCCCTTCTCATTATTCCCATAGGGCTTGTGGGGCCCACCTTAGTTGCCATTCTATTTCCAGGTACCATGGTAGCTATTACACAGGTGCTGGCCTCCTACTTGAGCATTTTGCATTCCCATACACATCTCCCTCCCAGGTCAGCCTTTTGAAGCCATCCCCACCCATGTTATGAGGTTTTCTGTTCATTGAAACAAAATGATGCTAGCAACAGGACAAACACTCCAGACAAACTACACAAAACATAGATCCATGGTATTTTGGGTTATTCTTTTGCTGGTGCCAGCATGCTTGTAGAGTGTCTTAGGGTTAACCTGTCCCCCTCATTTTCAGGCTTGACTTGTTTTTTCACCTCCCTTTTCTGGAGGGCCATAATCTGAGTCTTTTAGTAGCTTGTTTGCTGTCCAGATGTATTCATTATTTGCAGGGTTTTTGTGCTGCTACTTATGGGCAGTTTCCTCCTTCCCCCATCAGCTAGATAATTTGCATTCACACAGAGGCTTTTTTGGCTTGCTTTTGGATCCAAAGCTATTAGCAGCTTGGAGACTGTCTTAAAAGGAACACATTCCACTTCCACCAGAGTTCTGATTACTTTTTACTTCCTGCTCCAAAACGCACATAGATTTGAAAAAGAGAGCACAACCTATTGTGGCTTCTTTTGGAGCCCTAATAGGATTTTAATTAAGTACCATGTTTTGTTTGCATTTCTTTTACCCCTTTTCCAATATACACTGCAAACGTCTCCCTCCAGGAGCGCGATAAGAAGGAGTTCATGGCGTTGGTGGAGGAAGGGGCAACGGCAGCTCGGGCTTCCCTGCAGGCTGCCTCAGATGCTGCGGACGCGGCCACACATTCAATGGCCTCCACGGTGTTCGTGAGATGAGCATCATGGCTCCTCTCCGGGCTTTCCAGCAAGGCGCAATCTTCCATGCAGGATCTCCCATTTGATGGGAAAGCTCTGTTCGCAGAGGAAACAGATACAAGGCTGCATGGCATGAAGGACTCCCACACGACCCTCCAGACTCTGGGCCTCTATGTCCCGGCTCCAGCAAAACCTAAGTTCAAGCTGCAGCAGACTCCGACCCCAGCCACCCTCCCAAAGAATGAGGCTGCCCATAAGAAGCAACGGGACTATAAGAGATGCCATCACAGGCAGTCTCGGCCTGCCCCCCAGCCTGGACCCTCCAAGGGCAAGCAGGCGGGGAAAAGGCGATTTTGACGGGACACTCGGTGGCAACCCGCCAGTCCTCATCAGGGATCCAACCCCAATAAAGCTTCCCTTCTCAAGGCGGGGCCTGCTCCTCTGCCGTCTGCCTCGAAGCCCTCAGGCTGTGGGACTTCTGTATAGCCCACGACATACACCTGAATGCCTTCCATTTACCGGGCGCCTGCAACAAGAGGGCGAGTTGCTTGAGCAGGGACTTCTCGCAACACGAGTGGTCCCTGCACCTGGAAGTGGTCCAACAGCTCTTCCAAAGGTGGGGAACTCTCCAGGTGGACCTATTCACGACTCGGCAAAACCAGCGATGCCCCCAGTTCTGCTCTCGGGGAGCCTGGGGAGGGGCACTATCTCCGACGCCTTTCTCCTGTCCTGGTCAGGCCGGCTTCTCTACGCCTTCCCCCCGTTCCCTCTAATCAGCAGAGTCCTGGAGAAGATAAAGTCGAACAAGGCCCAGGCAGGATTGGTATGGGACCCTCACAGGCCTGGTGGTAGTTCCGCCGCAGCAGTTGCCACTCCGCCCAGACCTGCTCTCACAGGACCAGGGCCGCCTCCTCCATCCCAACCTAGCGGCTCTTCACCTTATGATGTGGCTGCTCAGTGGTTAGGTGGAGAAGAAAGAACGTGCTCAGAGCAAGTTCAGCGCGTCCTCCTCGAAAGTAGATGGCCCTCCACTTGCTGCGCTTATTTGGCGACCTGGTCCCGATTTTCTAGGCGGGCGGCGGACCAGGGTGTCTCCCCAGTGACTACCCCGATCCAGCTTATCCTTGATTACCTCTTCCACCTGAGGGCCCAGGGCCTGGTGCCCTCGTCCATCAAGGTGCACCTGGCGACCATATCGGCCTTCCATTCGCAGGTGCAAGGACACACGGTGTTTTCCCATGCTATGACTGGCCAGTTCCTTAAGGATCTAGACCGTCTTTTCCTGTATTCTAGACCCCCGGTTCCACAGTGGGATCTGAACCTGGTGTTGGCTCGTCTCACAGGGCCCCCGTTTGAACCACTGGCCATGTGTTCCTGGTCTCACCTCTTGTGGAAGGTGGCCTTCCTGATTGCTATCACGTCGGCCAGGCGAGTCTCAGAGCTCAGGGCCCTGACGGTCTTTCATAAGGACAAAGTCCAGCTCCGCCCACACCCTGCGTTCCTCCAAGTGGTCTCCGCCTACCACATGGGTCAGGACATTTTTCTACTGGTCCTCTGCCCCAAGCCTCATGCTTCCAGTGAGGAATGCCACCTCCACAGGCTCGACGTGCGTCGGGCTCTGGCTTTCTACCTCGAGGGGACTAAACCATTCAGAAAGTCCTCGCAACTGTTTGTCGCCTCGGCTGAGCACGCGAGAGGCCAGCCGATTTCCACCCAACGGCTTTCCAATCGGATCACTTTGTGCATCCGTTCCTGTTACGAGCTGGCGGGCGTTCTTCCGCCACCTATTGCAAGGGCATATGACCCGGGCACAGGCCTTGTCGGCTGCCTTCATGGCCACATCCCCAGCCAGGACATTTGTAGGGCCGCCACGTGGTCGTCGGTTCACGCATTCACCTCGCAACATGCGATCGTCTCCCAAACCAGGGATGACACAGAGTTCAGCAGGGCTGCCCTCCATCCTAGGAACTTGTGAACTCCTACCCACCTCCAACAGATATAGCTTGGAATCACCTACTGTGGAATACACATGAGCAATCACTCGAAGAAAAGAAAACGGTTACCTTTTCCGTAACTGGTGTTCTTCGAGATGTGTTGCTCATGTCCATTACACATCCCACCCTCCTTTCCCTCTGTTGGAGTTGTCTGGTAAGAAGGAACTGAGGGTGTGGGGGAGCGCGCAGCTCCAGCACCGGTGCACGTGGCAAGCACGCACACCTACTGTGGAATAGACACAAGCAACACATCTCGAAAAACTCCAGTTACGGAAAAGGTAACTTTTTTCCTAAAGCTCAAGCTTCAGGGTTTCAGCTGGACACATGCAGAGGTCAGGAAGGGATCTTCTCCCCCCTCGCCCAGTGTATTCTGGGAGATTTTTTTTATCTCCTTTCTGTGAAGCATCAGGGATGACCATGATTGGAGATGGGACTCTGCATGGGGTGGGCCAGGGCTCTCAGGTAGTACCTAGCATTCTCTCTTTCAGGTGCTTGGCTTGACTGGTTCTTGCTCACATGCCCAGGATTTAACTGATCGCCATATGTGGGGTTGGGAAGTAATTTTCCTCCAGGTCAGATTGGCAGTGACCTAGGGGGAGTTTCACCTTCCTCTGTAGCATGTGGGCATGGGGCACTTGCAGGAATTATCTGGATATAATTAATGGACCACTTCACCTGGAATGGTCCCTTAGACTATATCTAACTACTTATGCTAAACTATCAGTTTGATCTTGTATTTAGCTGTGACACTGAGTGCCATTCCCAGACTGAAGATGAGCTCTGTGTAGGTCAAAAACTTGTCTAGCTCAGCAACAATAAAATATTACCTCACCCACCTGGTGTCGCTAATATCCTGGGACTGACACAGCTACAACACTGCAGATATCTCACTTAATCATTTCCATGCAATTGCAGGGGCCTCAAGCGCTAGTGCATCTCACTCCCTCCTATTCTCTGCCTGTGGATCTCATTTTAATTTGGTCTTATTTCAGTCGTTGGGTTAGTGTGTGGGTCCTGGGTAGTGGTGGTGGCCTGTGCCATACAAAAGGTCAAACTAGATGATCTGGTGGTCTCATGTGGCCTTAAATTCTGACTGTATGAACTGAAAATGCTGGTGTTGCTATGTGTGTCAGTGTAAAGTTGTGGTTTTACACTGGATGTGGAGACATATGTATAATGTTTAATGATGAAGTTATCTAAGGTTTATGGCAATGAAAAGAAAAAAGGATACAAAAATACTTTAAAATGGCACTGTTTGATTGTAAGCTCTTTGGGGCAGGAACTGTCTCTCATAGAATTGTACAGCACTTACCACAACGCAGACACTATCTGATTGAGGCCTCTCTGTGTGGTTGCAATACAAAGAAATAATATGAATACAGATAGAATACATGTCACATTCTTAGTGTTAAAGTAATATAACCCTATAGCATGCTATATTATTATGGGAGAATATCCCATAATATTAAAAGCACATAGGTCTCTTTGCCTTTCAGTTACACTTAGGTGTTTTAAATTTTTTTATCCGTGACCTTGAAGTGAAGTGTGGGGGGGAGGGAACATCACGAATCAGACAAACAATAGTCCTCCACAACTAGAAATACAGAAACAGGAATAATTTGGATGAAATACAAGATAATACAGAAAAACTATACAGTGAGATCCTGATAGAACCCTGAATGCACTATCAGAAGGTTCGAATTTATTAGAACAGTTTAAAAGCCCCATAAAATATGTCGTCCTCTGTTTTTGAACACTAGGGTGTTTAGACATAAATTCTTCTGTGAAGGGAGCCCGTTTTGTTCGATTCTGTGATGCTTTCAACATTCCTCTGATCACTTTTGTGGATGTTCCTGGATTTCTGCCAGGTAGGCCCTCTGTGTTTGTAACTCCCTATGATTGGGGTGGGAGGGCAATTGGACTAGGATATTTAATACCATTTCTCTTTGTTTCTTTATCTAAGGTCGTGTTTGTCAGGTTGGGTGTGTTCATCCCCTTCAGGTGCCAGAGCAGTTGCAAAGTCATCATGCAGGGCCCAGCCAAAGATGGGCTGTTTCCTTGCCAGCAGCCCAGAAATCCTGCCCTCATCGCAGCTAGATCAGAAGTTATTTGCACTTCACTTGCTCTGCGTTTCCTTGTTATTTTGAGATTCCAAGTACCTCAAAAAGGGCTCAGCTATGGTGTTCCTACTCTGCCTTGTATTAAGGTCATGCAGAGCTGCACTGCTGCCTTGGGAGGTGTGAGAGGGATTGTTCCCGCAAAGGTGCAGTTGAGAGCAAACCCACTGCATCACCTATTAGTTCTCCTGACTGGTGATGTGGGGAGAAAGGGCCAGTGGGGTGTGAATTCCCGGTTGACCACCTGTGTCAGAACAGGTGGAGTATGTGCTTCCAGCAGTTCTGCTACTCAGTGCCCTGATAAAGGAGAGACTTTCAATCTCTTTCCCCTCTGGGGAGGGGGACCTTCCCCTCCTACATACTGTTACCCTGGGGTATGCCAGACTCTCTGGGCTTCAAGCGGTGCGTCTCTTGCCGGGAGGCCATCCTGGTCAACGATGGACATTCCTGTTGTATCTGCTGCGTGGGAGAGTCTCATATCCCACAGAGGTGCTCCATCTGCTCTGGTTTTAAGGACAGGGCAAGAAAAAATCAGCAGCTAAAACAGACTCTTAATGATGGAGCATTCCCTCCAACCAGCCTCAGATCCAGGCCAGGAGACCACCTCCCTCCCACTCACCGACATCAGTGTTGGGCGAACACAGTGCCCTGTCAACTTCGGCATATTTACTTTGGTCTACCCGAAGTAAATCCGCAGAGAATACCCACAGAAAACTGAGTCATTCCCACAGAAAGATGCCACCTCAAAAAGACCTTGGTCCCCACAGAACAAGACCGCTGTGGAAACCTCATATTCTACCCTGGATACAGCTGAGGCTCCAGACACTCTTAGTATTGATTCTCTACCCAGGGCTCTGGGCTCAGCAGAGAAAAAGGGCAGCAAACATAACTCAGTAATGAAACGTTCAGTGCTGCACAAGCAGGACACTGCATCAATGAAATATTCCACCTCTCAGAGGACAGTACCCACAAATTTTTCATTACCATCTATATCCAAGTTGGCCTCAGTACCAGGAATATATGCTTCTCATGCGGTTTCTGTGGCCCCCGAGGCATCCTCATCGGTACTGACTACTTTGACGAGAGTGGACTTGCCAGGGCAGCATATACCCTCAGTACCAATAACAGAACGGAGCCCTGCTCTTCAAACCCACCCAGTACTGCAGGAATTCAGGGGATCTATTTCTTTTGGAGGTTCCTGAGTCTCCCTTGTTAGTTGGTAGTAAGAACTTATCGGTACCGAGACAAGCATGGTCATGGAGGTGGGACCTTTCCCTGTGTGCCGCTTGACTCTCCAACACTTTCAGAAAGCTGGGGCTCCCCATCTTAAAGAGGAGGAATTTTCCTCCAATTTGAATATTTCGATCCAGTGCTCCCCAACACTTCAGACAAGTGATTGTCCATCCTGACGCTTTTGACAAGAAGGGGGAGTTCCACCAAAGACAGGCCCCAGGTTCCTCCGACCTTGTTCAAGCAACCAATGGATGCCACTCCTGATGCCTTTCAGACCTCTCCATTGGCCATACTGTGATCCTTGGGCTTCATATCCTCAGCAATTTTCCCAGGCCCCTAGTCTCTTGTGGGGAATATGGAGGAGACGCTTCCCTGCTTCAGCTCCTCCTCCATTACCTCAGACACAAAAACCCTTTGAGGAACAGGAGACTAAGGCAGAGTAAAGAGATTACTCCCTGTGACGGGGTGCGAATCACCATTCTGGTGCCTCCTGCTGGCTGTCATGGGAATTAGCTCTGCTTCCCGGGGCACACTCGTCTGGGGTGCATTGCTCCCATCACTTTTGTACCAGGACTCACACCACTCCCAGGACTGTGGCATCTTTAGTGACACTGCCCTCTGGCTGTGCCACACTCTGTGTTCCCCCTCCCCTTCCGGGGGACCTGCAATCTCTCCAGGGGACCTGCAATCTCTGTCCAGCTACTCCCTCAGTGGCAACTGCGATCCATTGTTCCAGGGCCGCTTACCATGTGACTCCAGCACCCTCTTCTGCCCTTATCTCAGGGCCTCAGCCTGCAGGCCCTAGCAGCTAGCCAGGAGCTCTCTCAAGCTCCCCTGGTCCCTGCTTGCAGCACTGCTCTGTCCCAGGTGCTGGCACTCCTTCCTCCTGCTAGGAGCCTGGTCTTCTCCTCTGGAGCTTCAGTCAGCTACTGAACTCTGCTCTGCCCTGCAGCCCTTCTTATAGGAGCCTGCCGGGCCATGACTGGCTACTCCTCTCAGCCCCTTTCTAATGGGCTGCTTTTAACCCCTTTTCTAACAGTGAGAGGCAGCTGCCCCATCACTCTTCCCAAACAAATATTTCTTAATCTTCCCCATATGAGGTTGTTATGCCTCCCCTATTGTCTGTGGCTGATGAGTTCAGACATTTCCAAGAGTTAATGAAGCACATTGCAGATTCCCTTGAAAGTCACAACATAAGCTCCTGGACATCCTCCAATGAACTCCCTCTACCCGAGCTGCCCTGCCTATAAATGAGGCCCTGGTGGATCTTGCGAAATCCATCTGGCGGGCCTCTGTGACAATTCCGCTGATGTGTAAATGAGTCAGTAAGAAATATTACATCCCAGCTAAAGACTCTGAATTTCTGTTCGCCCATCCAACTCTGAACTCACTGGTTGTGGAGGCAGTGAACGAACATGGCAGATGATATCATGCAAAGGCTATGCGATTTGTTAACAACCAAAAATGCTTTGATCTAGTCAACAGAAAGACTACTCATCCGTGACTTTTCAGTTTAGGATTGTGAACTGTCAAGCTCTCGTAGCTAAATATAATCATTCAAATTATGCCAAAATCACCACCTTTATTGAGCATCTGCCAGCTGATCAGTGTGACCAGTTTCAAGCTATTATTAACAAGGCCAACACTGCTGCTCAATCCATTTCTATGGCAGTGGTCATGTGGAGGATGTCCTAGTTCCAGCTGTCTGGATTCCCAAGGGATGTCCAAAGCATGGCTGAGGACCTTCCCTTTGATGGCCTCGAACTGTTCACAGGGTCCTCTGGTGATTCGTTGCATACCTTTAAGGATTCCAGAGTCACTCTGAGATCTCTTGAGACTTACACACCTATAAACAAAAGAAGGTTTAGTAGATCCCAAATGGCTCAAAGATCCTGCCCCACTTCATTCTCCAGATCCCAGAGACTGTTTGAACCACCCAGGAAAAAGTCGAGATTCCAGAGAAAGAGACCACCTGCTCCCTCTGCACCCACTACAGAACCATCATCATCATCATCCAAGCATCAGTTTCGATGGGCTGGTTGAGGGCCCGGAACTGTCCCACTAAACTGAGCTATATATACACCATTTTTCCCAACTTCCACCCTTCAGAAATCATCTCTCCCACTGTCTTCCTACATGGAAGAGAATCACATTGGATAAATGGGTGCTGGAGATTATAAGATCTGGGAAATTTTACCTTCCTCCAGTATACCCACCCCCCCCCCGTCCTGTTTCTCCTCAGGGACCCCCTCACGAACACCTGTTAAAGCAAGACGTCGACTCACTTCTGTGAATGGGAGTTGTGGAACTATTTCCTATTAAGCACAGAAGGAAAAGATTTTATTCCAACTATTTTCTGGTCCCGAAAAAGAATGGAGGGTGGAGATTGACTTTAGATCTAAGATTCCTAAACAACTTTGCCAAGTCTCAGAAGTTCAGGATGGTGTCTCTTGCAGCTATATTTCCATCATTAGAACCAGGGGAATGATTCCTCAACCTTCAGGGGAGCCCAGGACCTCAGAGTGATGAAGGAAAACTCTTTGCCTGCCTGGTAATTTCACTTCTAAGAAAGGACATGTCAGCAAATCCTCCCCTTATGACTGCTTTATGTTGGGAGAAGTGTATTTAGGGCACAGATTTTTATCTATCGTTCCTTTTCACTGTAACTCACCAGGGCTGCTGTGTCTCACTGATGTTTTCTTACCCAAATTAATTGCAGTATGCTGATGGGAGCCTAGTATTTGTTTTCAAGTATGGCCTGAGATTGTCTTTGCTGTCTGTGTTTGTAATTATTCTCTTGTGTAGGATTCACAGCTCTGGCAAGTTCTAGGAAGGAATGTCTTTTCCTGCTGCTGACCCTGAATGATGGCTTTGAACAGTCCTTGAGTCTGAAGTGAAAAAACACACCCTTCTCCACGTCAGAGTATTATGTTTCCAGAGAAGTGAAATTAGCAGATAAGGAGGAATTTTTCTCTGATAAATAGGTTGGGGTCTTGTACTATTTTCAGCTGAACCAAAATTTGCCACCAAGTGGGAACCTATTAACAATATTTTTATGGTATTGTGATACTATATAGCTGCTGTTCACCTGTGGTATACATTCATTGCAGTTCTCCATATGAGCTTTCCTTACCCTATTGTCCAGCATGGAGATGTGGAGTACACTATTGTACAGTAAACACTACTGGGGGTGTGCGGCTTTGATAAGTGCTAGCTGACCTGCTGGCAGCACCTAGAGAGAGCTGTCCACGGGAAGTGATGTGTTTTTGGTAACTTTCCTGAAAAGGTTTTTTGGTTCTCATAATTTTTAGGCACAGCTCAGGAGTATGGAGGAATCATACGTCATGGTGCAAAACTACTGTTTGCCTTTGCAGAAGCAACTGTGCCCAAAATTACTATCATCACCAGAAAGGTAAGGTGTCATTATTTCTTGGTGTTCTCCAAGGCCTCCTGGTCTGCTAGAAGTAATGTTATTCAGAGGTGACTTCCTTCTGGACTCCTGTTGTCTCTTGCTTCCTCTCTCATAAGGCTTCTTTCTTTCAACTTTCAAGCAGCTTATGTCTCTACTGACCTGTCAGAATGTTGCTACAACTCCTCCCTGCCCTTTGCCGCTAAGCTCCTTCAATATTCTGTCTGCTTTCACCTTCATTTCCTCACCTGGATCTCTTGCAGACAAGTGTCTGTCCCCTCCACGTCACTGAATTTTTCTCACTGAGGTCACAAATGACCTAACTCTGGCCAGATCCAGACTTGGCATTCTCTGAACTTTTTGTCATTTTAGACAATTGAATCCTTCTATTGCCTCTCCTCCTGGAGCTGTGGTGAGTCTGTGTTCTCCTCCTTCCTCCTCTGCTGCTCTGTTAACATTTCCTTACATGGCTGCTCCTCTATCTTATGCTTTTTCATTGTCCCTCAGAGCTCTGTCCTTAGTACCCTTCCCTTCGCCCTTCTGTTCTTATCTGTTAGACACCGTACTGATAGGTGCCTTGTAAATGCAAACTGTACATACCTTAGCTGCTCTCAGGGGTTCAGCTAGCATCATCTCGCTTTTCCTTCTCCGTTCAGCCTCACCTTTTGAACTGCTAATAAGACACTCTTCCAACTCAACGTGGCAAAAACTGAACTTCTTATCTTTCTACCCTTCTCCCTACTTTCTCTATTGTTGTCAAAAACTCCAGAATCCTCCCTTTCTCCTCAGCTTGCCACCCTGGTGTCATTTTGACTCCTCCTTGTAGCATAATACGTTCATCAAACCCTGCTACTGCTTCTTCCTGTCTAATCTCTCCCTATTTCTTCTCTGTCCAAGAACCTGCTCCTTGAGCCCCTTCAGATCCTCGTTTTGGAAGATGCATGCCCTGACTCAATGGTCTCAGAATGTTCAGAGCTGTGTAACCATGAGAAAGTGTGCATATGGAGCCCAGTGTTATAAATCATTACTGTTCCCTCTGAGTGTGCCATCACAAGTGGTCTTGGGACCCTAACTATTCCTCTTTCCCTTTCTCTTGTGCAGTTCTACTTAAACTGAAATTTAGTGTGTGTTTATTGTAATTCACCATTAGTAGTAAAAAAATAATAATAATAAAGTTTTGTTGGCTAGTTCCTGATTGTTTGTAATGGCCGACAAAGTGAAATGTCCAGTCTTCAGATTGTGAGCCTTGTGAAGTAAAAACGCCTTCCTTCTCACATGCCGGCACTGTTTGTGTCAGGGGTGTCACTGTAAACCTCTTTTGCCTGTGCAACATTTGCTTTTAGAATAAGGACTAGCAGAGATGGCTTTAGCTGCTCACCCTGTGGAAACTGCATTGCAACACTGAGACATCTTTGGGTCCATCAAAGATCTGAATGAAATTGAAAAATCTGAATAATTGCCCATCAGGGAATATTAAGAAGTCCGTGGAAGTACTGTTCTGTTGTCATGTAAAGGTAGGTTCCTCCAAGAGGACAGATGAAGAAAAATTTAAGAAGATGATTGAGTTCTCAAATCACATCTTTGCAGCACCATGCAGATTCTGCATACAACTGGCTTCTCCTTGATCCTGTCACAATTCTGAATCATAAGAGTAGAGCTGAGCGGTTTAGCTCTCAACAGGCCTGTGAGAGTGAGTCTGCAGGAGAAAAAAAGCAACTTTGAAAACATGGGGAGAAAAAGTGTTTTCCACGAGGACAGCTACTAACTAAGCCAGAAAGATTGCCAAAAAGGATTGCAAAATCATTTTTAAGTACATCAGAACCAGGAAGCCTGCCAAATAAACAGTGGGCCACTGGACAATCGAGGTGCTAAAGGAGCACTCAAGGAAGATAAGGCCATTGCAGAGAAGCTAAATAAATTCTTTGCATCAGTCTTCACTGCATAGGATGTGAGGGAGATTCCCACACTTGAGCCATTCTTTTTAGGTGACAAATCTAAGGAGCTTTCCCAGATTGAGGTGTCAGTAGAGGAGGTTTTGGAACAAATTGGTAAATTAAACAGTAATATGTCACCAGGACCACATGGTATTCCTTCAAGAGTTCTGAAGGAACTCAAATGTGAAATTGCAGAACTACTAAGTGTAGTTTGTAACCTATCATTTAAATCAGCCTCTGTACGAGATGACAGTAGGGATAGCTAATGTGACACCAATTTTTTAAAAAGGCTCCAGAGGCGATCCTGGCAATTGCAGGACAGTAAGCCTAACTTCAGTATCATGCAAATTGTTCGAAACTATAGTAATGAACAGAATTATCACACACATAGATGAACATCATGTGTTGGTGAAGATTCAACACGGCTTTGTAAAGGGAAATCATGCCTCATCACTCTGTTAGAATTCTTTGAAAGAGTCAACAAACCTGTGGAGAAAGGTGATCCAGTGGATATAGTGTACTTGGATTTTCAGAAGACCTTTGACAAGGTCCCTCACCAAAGTTTTTGTGCAAAGTAAGCAGTCATAGGATAAGAGGGAAGGTCCTCTTATGGATCAGTAACTGGATAAAAGACATGAAACAAAGGACCAAAAAAAAAAAGGTCAATTTTCAGAGTGGAGAGAAGTGAATAGTGGTGTCCCCTAAGGATCTGTACTGGGATCAGTGCTGTTCAACATATTCATAAATGATCTGGAAAAACGGGTAAACAGTGAAGAGTCAAAATTTGCAGATACAAAATTACTCAAGACAACTAAGTCCAAAGCAGATTGCGAAGAGTTACAAAGGGTCTCATAAAACTTGGTGACTGGGCAACAAAATGGCAGATGAAATTCAATGTTGATAAATGCAAAGTAATGCACATTGGAAAACATAATCCCAACTATACATACAAAATGATGGCGTCTAAATTAGCTGCTACTATTCAAGAAAAAGATCTTAGTCATTGTGGATAGTACTCTGGAAACATCCACTCAACATCCACTGGTGCAGCGCCAGTCAAAAAAGCTAACAGAATGTTAGGAACCCACTAGGAAAGGGATAGATAATGAGACAGAAAAGATCATAATGCTACTATATAAATCCATGGTACACCCACATCTTGAATATTGCATGCAGTTCTGGTTGGGTTGCCCCATCTTATAAAAGATATATTAGAAATGGAAAAGGCACAGAGAAGGGCAACAAAAATGATGAAGGGTATGGAACAGCTTCCATATGAGGAGAGATTAAAAAGCCTGGGACTTCTCCTTTCCCAAGCTGAAATGACTAAGGGGTGATACGATAAATGTCTATAGAATCATGAATGGTGTGGAGAAAGTGAATACGGAAGTGTTGTTTACCTCTTCACATAACACAAGAAGCAGGGGTCACCCAATGAAATTAATAGGCAGCAAGTTTAAAACAAACAAAAGGAAGTACTTCTTCACACAGTGCACAATCAACCTGTGAAACTCATTGCTAGGGGATGTTGTGAAGGCCAAAAGTATAACTGGGTTCATAAAAGACTGAGATAAGTTCATGGAGGATAGGTCCATCAAAGGCTATTAGCTAATATGGTCAGGGATGCATCCCCATGCTCTGGGTGTCCCTAGTTTGTTTGCTGGAAGCTGGGAGTGGATGATGGGATGGATCCCCTCGATGATTGTCTGTACTGTTCATTCTCTCTGAAGCACCTGGCATTGGCCACTGTCAGAAGACAGGATACTAGGCAATATGGACCATTGGTCTGATCCAGTGTGGCCATTTTTATGTTCTCATTAGTTGCTGCAGATTCACTGTTTCATGGCTTGGCAACACATTATTTTCATGTAAATTTCTGAACTCTTAAGATAACTTTTGATTTCTCTTTTTTATGTTCAGCATTGATTACACTGCTGATACCAGCAATATAAGAATAAAGATGCTAAAATTGGATGTCTTGATTCTGCACTAATTGGCTATTTGATAGAACCATAAAGATGAGGATAGTATCAACTGAATTCTAAATAGGTTCCGTTTTCTTTTCTCATTCTGGTACAGTTTTGCTCAGAAGTACCATTCCCAACCTGCAACGACAACTTGTTTGTCATTTTCAAAAGGTCTTTCTGAGTCGAGACCAGCAGGTATGTATTATGGCACTACTGTACTTTCGATACATTAACCCTTTCGTGATGAGGAAGGAGGAGGCCTTTGTGATGGACACGTTTATAAAAGCAGATACTAAAAGTAGTACTTTCATGTCATTAGGTTTAGACACCTCCGTTGTCCCACTTTAGTTTAGTGCTTCTGTTAGATAGAGGTCAACCTGGACACAGGCTTCCTGTGAAGTTTGGAGCAAAGTTATGCTAATGCTGAGCAGTTGCTCTCGAAATGGACCATCTTGGGCTCTCTTCAGTGTGTCCTTGTCTCTGGAATGGCAATACTTGCAGAAGGGATTTAGTTTGTTGCTGTTGTGCATTTGTCTGATATCAATGACTTTCTGTCTCTTCCAGGCTTATGGGGGTGCATATGATGTGATGAGTTCGAAGCATTTACGAGGAGATGTTAATTACGCATGGCCTACAGCAGAGGTTGCAGTAATGGGTGCAAAGGTAAATGCAGTCTGTGTTTCACTTCTGACTTCCAGCAGCCATAACTATCTCTGAAAAATCATTGAGGAGACTTGCTGAGATTAATGCAACTGATTTTTCTCTGAAGTATCTTACTAGTTTATAGCACAGCTTTTATTGTAGTGCTTTAAATCCTATGCCTTAAATAAAAGTTTTTTTTCAAGATGGATTAATTATTTCAGTCCAGTTTCAGGGCATGTTTGTATGTCTTTCTAGGGTGCTGTCCGGATCATTTTCAGAGGAAAAGAAACAGATGCAGAGGCAGAATATGTGAATAAGTTTGCAAATCCCTTCCCTGCGGCTGTCAGAGGTACCTGGGACTTTGTTCTTCAAGTTCCTTTCTTAAATTCCTTGGTTAAAATCCTTTGAGTGTCAAATTTCACTTATGTGGTCTGTGGTCACGGCTAACACTTTGATCAAATATTAGTTTAATCACACACGGCATTTTAAAGACAGGGATTTAGGAATGAAAGTGGCACTAATCATAGTTTGGAAATTATTCAAACGCTCTTACATTTTATTTTATTTTTTTAAATTTTGTTTCCAAATTCCAGCTACAAAACAACACATCTGAAGGGCTTCTAATTCAATTTCTTTGAGGCACTGGTGAGATGTAGGACACAGGGCCATGTCTGAGGTGTTGATAAGCGTAATAAAAACGTTCTAAATGTGAGAGGCATTTCAAAACCTGGACAACTTCCATAGTACTTCAGAGCACTCTGACAGTTTGGGTGGAGTTTAATGAGGTGTGCTGGTCAACTTTAGAAGGGACCAGACTTCTGGCTCAGCTTCAGTTTCCCACATACACTACTGCCCCAAGTGGTAGGCCAAGGGCCCTTAGTTTTTGTTGTTGTAGTGGATGTAATTCTGTATTTCCATATATTTAAAAGTTTATTTCTTATAAGTTGAACCTTAAAGTGCATTTTTACTCTGAAAAACGTGTGTGTAGAAATGGCTCTTTCTCAATCAGACAATCAGTTCCCCATATGTTTTAGTTACATCTGCTTACTCTACTGATCAGTATATTCATTTGTACCACATTTTAGTCCTGTCAGTAGCACAACGTGGTAGATTGTTTCCTGGCTAGTGGATTATCAACAGAAGTGTTAAATGTTTTCACTGCAGTGTTTATTGTTGGGGCTTGAGCCAGAAAAAAAACAGAATTTCGCTATCAGATGCCAGGTTGAATTTGCAGAATTGACAGAAAATACATCTTGTCATTTGTAAACTGAACTGACTTGATTTGAACTGCAGGAGACTATACATATAGAATTTCCCAATGAAATTTACAGTTATTCTTGAATTGAGACCCACTGTAAGTCTAAATTTCTTGGCTTTCTAATGTTTACTTATTTGATGATAAAGTTTATGCAAAGCTTTTTAAGTTACTGAAACACATTGTCAACTTTGTCAGTTTAACTCAAATGCTTCTCTTGCAAGTTAAGTTACAAATTAACCGTTGCATGCAGTTCTCTAATACATGAATTGTTTGCTTTGCAACATCAAAACTATGCAGTCACTAATTACAACTAGATATATTGTGGTTGGGAGGCAATAGTGTTTGTGTGTAATTTGTTTTTGGTAAATTAAACAGGGTTTGTTGATGATATCATTGAACCTTCTACCACTCGAATCCGCATTTGCCGTGATCTGGAAGTGCTGGCTAGCAAAACGCAATCCAATCCCTGGAAGAAGCATGCGAACATTCCACTGTGAATATGATGAAGAATTGGCTACAAAATGAAGCCACTTTTGTGACACGGGGAAGTGTTCTAAATACATCTATTCCTTAGTTAAAGTGGAGAACTTAAACTTAGCACTATGAACATTTCTTTTAATTTTAATTTGCTTAAGTATTATGTAGCAATAAATTTTGAGAGAATGGTTTTATCTGGTATTATATGATTACTTTTAATTAACAGATTCTTTATTTAGCCAACAGTCCTGAAATTGCTTCCTCCTTAGAAGTCATGAGTCCAAACAGATTCCAAGACCTCATGGTCTGATCTTCTGTGATGGAGACAGGGAAGGAATGTCCCTTGAGTCCATTGGCTTTCTATCATTGTTCGGCACAGACAGAAAGGGCTCCACTAGAGAATCATGCTTTTGGATCCAGTCAGACTTTGGTATAGTTGAGATTTGGGCAGGACAACGGTCTGGGAACGGTGCATCATCTCTGGATCCTGGCCTATTGGGTCTGTCCCTGCATTACAGCACCCATCATATTTGTTAGGCAAAACTCCCAGTATGCTCCCTCTAATGGTGCTGATGGTGGGGTTCTTGAAGCATTGGGAACCATCCTGAATGCAGAGTCTTGAGGAATTTGCTCTTGGGCTCCATAGCTTCACTTCCTGTGATGTTCTCTCCAGCGCAGCTGGTTTTACTCAAAACGCTTTGGGTGAGATTGCATTCTCATATGTGGGTGTAATAACACTTGGAGGGTAGAAACTTAATTGTTTGTCTAATTAAAGTTGGATTTAATGAAAGGTGTAAAATGTGCTAAAGTATCCTGACATTGCTCAATCTACTGTTACTTTTATCACAACTTTCTATTGCTCTTTGTGACAAGAGCCTGACAGAAAGTAAATTAATATATAACAGTGGAAATTAGTGATGGCTAATTGAAAATAAACAAGGTATGCAAATTACTGCACTTCAACATGCAGATTTGTGCATTTGGGGAATTTAAATAGCACACTGAGTGGTATGCTTTGTGTGTATGGGACTGGTGCCTTGTTCCTGTGGGGTGTGATGGTGCGGATTGTCAGGAATCAGGACCTACCTCAGATCCAGTCTCTGGGCAACCTAACAAGTGCTGCCAGCCTGTAGTAGGCTGCCTGATTGGCTTCACTGCCTGAGTGGTGGAAAGAGCTGGCAGACAGGCTCTTAAGTCCAGTGGCTGCTCAAAGCATTCGCCCACAGCTGTGGTAGCTCCTGCACCTGCTTGTTCCCAGTCTTGCTCCCACCTTGTTCCACCCCTGATCTGGTCTTTCCCCAGTCTTGCTTTGCTTCAAGTAACAGGCTTTTGACACTCGGCTCCGATTCCTGTCTTTTTTTATTCTGGCATTTGGCTTTTGACTCTGGTTCTGACCCTGAGCTCCAATTCCTAGCCTCCGACTCCAGCTCCGACCCTGAGCTCCAATTCCTGACTACATACTCCTGCTCCAACCACTAGACATAATCACCATGTCCTGGTCTGTAACACAGATATAGGTGCCATGCGTGAAGATGTTGGCATTGCTTCAATTGTGTGATTTTTCACTTTTTAATTTTCATGTGTATAAGGTTTATTTGTTGTATGTATGACACTGAGAAAATGAAATTAAAATCCACAAAGAAAGGGAACAATTGGTAATGTTTTCCACTACCAACATTGTGACATCAGACTACATGCATGTCTGCTATAAAGCTGTACAGGAACACAAAGGGCCTCCTGCAGGTAAAAAAAAAAGGTGGGGGGCAGAGAGGTGATTAGAGGAAAGAAGTAAACAGGCCATGGTGGGTTACACAGCCTCTGCTGTCAACAAAGTGTACATCTGTGACTGCAGCCAGCATAATCCAGTTGATTTAAATACCTAACTGTAGTACTATGGGGTGGAAACGGGTATCTGAGTGCGAAGTAATTTTTAGATAAAATTGCTAAAAGAACACCAACCAAATTATTAAAATTGATAACTGGGAGAAACAACAATAAAACAGATGGAATTATTAACTGATTGTCAGGTGACTAGTTCAGGGAAACTAAAATCAAAATAACTGTTTTTGTAGAAGTGCAATGAATTTTATATACTTGAACTTCAGTAAAATATTTGATAAGGTGCCACATGGGAAATTAATAATTATATTAGGGAAGATGGGGATCAGTACACGAATTGTAAGATAGGAACTGGCTAAAGGGGAGATCAGCCTTATTTAATATTTTTGTTAATGACATTGGCATAAAAAGCAGGAGCATGCTGATGAAACAAAGCTGGCAGCATAATAGAGAAGGAGATCGCAATATTATACAGGCAGATCTGGATGACCTTGAAGACTGTAGTGAAAGAAATGGGATGAAATTCAATAATACAAAGTGCAAGGTCACTTCGGGTCTAATAATAATAATTTCTGCTACAAGCTGGGGACTCATCAGTTGAAAGCAACAGAAGAGGAGAGAAACCTGGTTGTGTAGGTTGATCGCAGGATGACTGAGCTACCAGTGTGGTGCAACTGAAAAAGGCAAATGCTATCCTAAAATGTGTCAGACGAGGCATTTCCAGTAGAGATAGGGAAGTATTAATGCTATTGTACAAGGCACTGGTAAGACGTCATTTGGAATACTGTGTACATTTTGTGTCATTCATGTTAAAGAGTAACTGGAAAGAGCTTGGCTTGTTTAATCTAGCAAAAAGAAGTCTGAAGGGTATATGATGGCTCTCTATAAATACATCCGGCTGGGGGTGGGGGCAATACCAGGGAGGATGAAGAGCTATTTAAGCTAAAGGACAATGTTGGCACAAAACCAAATGGATATAAATTGGCCATGAACAAATTCAGGCTGGTAATTAGAATTTTTAACCTTGTTCTCTAAGTTCCTGCACATGGATCCCACTTAGTTTCCATGTGCCCCAGCACAGGAGTTTGAAGCATTTTCATTAGTAGTATCCAGTAGGAGTCTTGCATGCATCCTGCATGTGCTTGTGTTCGCATAAAGGTAATTCTTATAACTGACTCCCATGACAGATATCTGTACTGTCTGGGTGAGGAACATCTCACTACGTGTGAGATTTGCAAGTCCTTCAAGAAGTGCACACAAAAGGAGAGAGAGTCCAGATTGAAGCTTTTTCTGATGGAACGCTCCATGAAAGCTACTTCAGACTCAGAGGCTTCTGTTTTCACAAGTCTCTCTCCAATGCTCCTGTCACCAGAAATGTGACACCTAATTCTGGAGCAATTAAGTAGACAAAAAAGACTCAGGAAGGTTCTCCAGAGAGTCAGGGACCTTTGCTATCCAAGGACTGAGTGTCTCTGATTCTGTTTCCCAGCACTGAGCTCTGTCTCTGCTGCCAGGAGTCTTCAAAGGAGGAAGACTTCAAAGGAGCCACTAGTGCTGGGGATTGCAGAGCGGCTAGTGCAGACGAGCTCTTCCTGGTGTGGGAAAAAGAGGGACTAGGACCTGCCATGCTGCACTGCAGCACAGAGCTAATAGAGAAACTACCCCCTTCAGCTGAAATATCTCCAGGAAAGAAGAATCATCTGCGTTCCTCCTCTTCAGCACCATCTTCAGCAGCACTGCCTCTCTCAGAATCATAGTGCTCAGGACAGTCTTCTGCAGAGCTTCCCTTGTCAGCCTTGATCAAAGCCTGCTCGGCACCAGCAGCTTCAGCTGCAGAGGAAGCTTCAAAGCAAAGAGAGGCACCTACAGCATCCTCACTACAGGGACCTTTTACAACTACATTTTCAGCTCCAAAAGCTTCTTTTGTATCTTCACCAAACTTCAGGGTCACTCCAGAACCTCAGTCACCAGTCTGGGAGGTTTCCCCGATCTCAGTGCCAGACAGATCCTCTCTTCAAAAAGAAGTGAGGGTACCTCTAATGAAAATGTCTTTGAACCAGTATGTCAGTGCAATTAAGGATTTGAGTACCACTCAAATCATTCAATCTCTTGCCATGGCTTCTGCATTAGAGGTTTCTTCCTCCAAAGTCTCTGATTCCTCTGCAGACTCTGACAGAAGCCCTCCACAAAAAGGGAAATCACATGGATGGAAAGAAATTAAGTCTAGGGAGGCATATGGAAAAGAGCCTCCTAATAGTCCTGAGGATGCTAATTCTAACTCTGCTGCTTGGTTCCCTCCAAACTGGCCAAACATCCCTTTCTCCTATAGTCCACAACCTTGGCCTTCATGGCCTCAATAATCACAATTTCAAGGACAAGTTCTCCCACAATATACAGGATCTATTTGTGAGCCACCTGCTGTAAACTTTTTTAATTCTAATAACTCTACTGGTCAAGTTCAAGATGCAGAGGAAAAACAGATTTCAAGTGATGATGAAATACCAGCCCATCAGGACAGTCCTTCTGATCCTGTACTTCATTTTTCTTCCTTGCCTTATAAAAAACATTTCACAGACTTCAGCTGATGATTTTACCACCTTTCAGAAAAGCATATGGCAAAAATACTAGAAGTTCCTTTGGAGACAGTTGAGGAACAAGCATATAAACTTTTTGATACTCTACAGCCAGCATCCTGAAGCTGGGCTGCATTTCCTATTAATGAAGGGATACTGGATCCAGACAAAGATCTTTGGGCTTCCCCAGCTTCCATTTCAGCTAATGCAAAATGCACAGATTGTAGATATCAGGTGCCATCTAAAGGATTTGTGTATTTTTATGCTCATCTGGCTCCATCATCACTGGTGGTTGCTGCATCCAATGAGTCATCAAAAGAGTCTGGGAAATCTACCCTTAAAGAGAAAACCCAAGACAATGCATTTGGTTGGGGGGGGATTTACTCTTCCTGGGTTTTACAGATCAGCATAGCAAAATATGATTATCTGCAATGGGATAGACTGAGAGTTTAAGCACAGGTTACCTTCGGAATGTAGAGGTGAGTTTAAAGCTACTTGTGAATAAGGGCAGCTTATTGCCAAAACCTCTCTTCTAGATGTATTATATGCTGTTGATTCGAGTGCTCATTCAGGGCAAGTCTAAACTACAAAATTAAGTTGACCTCCATTACATTGATGTACAGCCACCACAGAAATTAAACTGCTTTTGCATGTCCCCACTACGCTCCTTGTGTTGGCAATGCACATCCTCACCAGGAACGCTTGCACCAATTTAACTGTCAGTGTGGGGCATTGTGGGACGGCTTCTGAAAGGCAAGCAACAGTCAATGTAAGCAACAGTG